AAAGTTTAAAATTTTAAATTAAAATTAAGCATCCTATCTTCAGTATTCTCTTGATGTAAACTGATAACCCTTGTTTGTCGTATTTCATTCTCTCCCTGCTACATATATATGATTCTATTGATAAAAACATTATTTAGTCTGAAGAATTCCTTTTGAAGAATCAAATATTTTTCATTTTGTTGTTTATTGACCCACTATTAGACTGATATATAGTTTATATATCATATTCTCCAATATATAAACAACGTGTTAAGTCAAATCTTCCATTATTTTTTATCATTCACTGAAATAGATGAATAGCTAAAAATAACCATTTTATATGATACAATATCTTGTGACAAGTGCTTGATGTGGGAAGTGTTCATTAAGCTCATAGACAAATACTTCCCTGCATCAAGCCCTCTCCACAAAATATTCAACAAAACACAGTAAAAATCAGCTACACTTGCACCAAGAGCATGACACAAATAATAAAAAAGCATAACAGGAAAACAATCAACAAAGCACCTGAACAAATTAAACCCATGTGTAACTGCAGAATAAAGAACGAATGTCCCTTAAACAGCAATTGCTTGCAGAACAATGAAATATACCAAGCCACTGTTAAATCAGCAGGTAACAAAGAAATAATATACATAGGAGTAACTGAAGTGCACTGGAAACAAAGAAACTATGCACACAAAACATCTTTTACAAATAGTAAATATGCGAACAGCACAATTCTTTCTAAACATATCTGGGAGATTAAAAAACAAAAAACAAATCACACTAAAAATATCATGGAAAATAAAGAAAAGAACATCAGCCTATAACAATCAATTTAAAAACTGTAAACTTTGCAAAATAGCCATAATTACCTTCCCAGACCAAAACAAACTACTAAATAAATTATTGGAACTCCTCTCAAAATTCAAATGCAAAAACAAATTTTTACTATGCTACTTAAAAATCGAAAACGGAAAATGAACAAGAATAAATGAAAATAAATAAAATAAAACGAGTAAAATAAATTAATCCAAACAAATAAACTAAGTAAGTAATAAATAAATTAACAAACCACGCCCACCAAAGTAACTGTAAGAATAATACAATAGTCTATGCACAATGCATCACTGACCTGTATATATGAAAAACTGAGCAAAAATACAACACACATGGCTTGACAATTGCATTTAGCATTAAACAGACTGTTGCCTCTGAGTTTTGACTTCAATGTCCATTTTATATATATATATATATATATATATATATAATGTAACCCATTGAAATGTGAGACCTGACCACACTTGCTGATGTATTCACCCTAGACCCCTACATATTTTTAGTAAATCTCTCTATTTCAGAATTGCTTGTGTCACAAAGCAAATCACCAGTGAAGACCAACAAATGACTAATACAAAATTGCTCATATGAACAACTTTATTCTATACATGTGTTAGCCTGTTTAATTCTTTTCAGTGATTCAAAACTGGAGACGTGTCTCTTCAGGACATAGGTGTTCATGGCACTCCACAACTTCCTACCCATTGTAGCTCTTAGTAGGATTTTTTTTTTTTTTTACTATACTTCCCAGTTCTTGTTCTGACATCCATTTACACAAGATTGTTAGGTAGGTTACTTGCTGTTTCCTTCTGACCCTCTTGTCTTTAATAGACCCTGTGGGTGCCAAATTCTCCAAACCCACTTGTTATTTTTCCTAAAATTTCAACTGTCTTTTTCTGATTCTAAGTATAAGCATCATTTTTGTTTTTTTATTTTCTTTAAAACTTTGTCACTCACATATTCAGTTCATAGTATTCTCAGCATCCTTCTGTAGAACTACATTTCTGTTTCTTTATATCTCTTCTTCATCTTTGTTGAGATTGTCCAGTATTCACTGCCATATAGAAAGGCTGATATTAATTAACAGTTTAGCACTCTTTGTTTATAAGGAAATTTTCCTTTTTCTTAATATTTTGCTTCAGTGATACAAAATTGGCAAAATGTGGCATAAGGCCAAAATGGGGAAAAGGACAGTCTTCATCTTTCTCAATATTAAACTTAGCTAACCACAAACACTGACCCAAACATACCACAATATTCATAATACTAAAACAACACATACTTACTTACCTTTCTTACTACATCCACCATAATACCTCATTGTCTCTATGAAAGTCCTAACTAGTCCCCATATGTACAATTCATTGTCTGTGTGGGGAGAGGAATGAAACAACAATTTAAAAACTAACCCCAATGAGTATTTACAATATGAAAACAAAACTATTATGAAGAGCTCATCCAAACAATTACTATGAAAATATTTATAAAAAAGACATAGATTAAGGCCTGTTGTTTTCTGTAGTGGAATTCTAACCATTCTTTCAAGATTATAACATAAATTAGAATTATTCCAATATAGTCTTATTGGAAAATAAAGTTGAAAAGCTTTTTGATATTTTAAAAAGTAACATCCACAATGACAAAAAAAAAAAAAACTAAAAACTACATGTGAAAAACATATAGTCTTTTTGTGTCCAAATTTTGTTAGGTTGTTTTAATTATTGAATATGGAATTTTTCAGGTTAAAGGGTATACAGCAAAAAAACAAAATGACGGTGATGAAGAAATTAGTCCAAACTAAACTACTAAAAACTAACAAAAATGAGAATATCTTACCCACTTACAAAATAGTCACATATAATAAAATCTAATGTCAGGTTTTTGTTTATTATTTGGATGGTTTGATCCCACTAAAGCAATCCTGACCTGTTTTGAACTTTTCTGTCTGGAGATAAAGCAGACATCTAACCTACCAATAAGCAGGCATACTGCTGCTGAAATATTCAGGTGGTCTGCCACCAAGTGGCACTTTTGGTCTGCATGAGTTTTCAGAAAAGAAAAAAACGATAGCATAATTTCAATAATTTTTGCAAAAAAAAAAAAAAAGCATCAATAAGGAAGAAGAGAGGGTTCAAATGAAGCCAATTTGTCTTTGATATGGCTAAAGCCAACCAGCCAGCAATAAAAAAAACAAATTGTCTCCAAAACACTCTGTCAGCTGGTGGGGATAAGCCCCACTTACAAGAAGTGAGCAAAAGGTCTGAAAAAAATTTTAACATTTTTAAAGGGTTTGATGTGGGGTTATATTAAGTGAATTTAGTGAATCCACAGTTTTTGCACACTTATGTCAGAAGTCCAGACTTTTAGTATCACTGCTTTAATTTTGATTTTTCATGTCTATGAACTGTTAGTGAAAAAAAATTCAGTAAATAAGTGAACCAATTTTTTTTATTATCCTAGGCCTAGCTTTAATACCTGAGAAATGGATAAAAATATTAAAAATTAATATGTGTACGAATAATTTTGTCATTGACTATATATGTGTGTGTGTAAATATATAGAAAAATAGGAAAGAACCATCAGGTAATAATCCAAAGTTCTTTAGTATTTTTGTTTTTATTTTTAATAAACAGCAGTGCTCAATACACAAGTAGAGCCTAAAACCTGGGATGACCCATGTCCTTTATGCCTACATGAAAAACTACACATTATTAAGTTTCTAAAAAACGCAAATTTATTAAATCATAGATATGAGTTAATGGTTTTTTGCTGACATCAAAAAACTTTCACCTTAAATAATTAGCTTAATAATTTTAAAATTTCACAGTCTATAAACAATTTCAATTAAAGCAATAGGTTTAAAAGCTTAACCCAATCATAAGATAAAAAAAACCCTTTATGAAGTCATCATAGAAACAAATTGTAGTTCAATATGACGTATTTATATACAAACAACCCTTTAAGAAAAAAATCTTTAGGTATACAAATTTAACGGCCTAACAAAAAATGCCAATAACTCTCTGTCATTGAAATAGACCAGACGATATGCGTCAAACAGATGTCATCATTCACTTGAAAATAGGCACCCCCAACCCTACCTTGACTTAACCTCTTTCCGAAAGTAACTAATATGTTGATACAATAGCTTATGCCCCTTATTAATATAATTGGTTTCGCCATTACCATAGTAATTAATATTACAAATGTATATGCTTATAAAGCTCTATAAATTTCAAGATTAGTTATTCCAAAATTTGCTTGAGGATAAAACAGGGCTGGGTATTTTAATTCAATTTCATTTTTATAATTGAAGTTTTTAGCTTCTGTTTTTGAAACATGAGAACTCTTATGTAGCGATGGAATTATATTTTTAAAAAATAATTTATATATATATATATATATATATATATATATACACATACAAACTTTAAGGACTTAATGTGCATTGTAATATTGTATTCCTTCTGGGGAGGGGAGGCTAACTGAGAGCCGCCCCAGGCAGCAAAAACACTAGCTATGCCACTGTAGCTTTTGAAATACTAATTAAAGACACAAAAGAAGTGTTTGTGCAAATGGCAGGATGAGAATGAGAAAAGATAGGTTATAAAGGTACAAGTATTGCTGAAAAACAAACAAATGGAAGCTGTGAAGAGCCACAATTAATTACATCCTGAAGGGACATTACACACTTTCTGTTATGTGAAACTCTGACATAAATTATTTCATTGAATTTTTATTTATTTTTCACTTTCAATTTTTGCTTTTGTTTTTTGGGTTATTTTTGTAGTTTTGTTTTATTTATTTATTTTTGTAGTTTTGTTTTGTTTGTTTTTTAGTTTTGTTTTGTTTGTTTTTTAGTTTTGTTTTGTTGATTTTTTTTGTAGTTTTGTTTTTTAGTTTTTAATTTTTGTTTTTGTGGCTTTTGATTTTTGTCTTTGTTTTTGTTTTAATTTTTGTTTTATAGCCTTTGTTTTGCTTTTTATTTTATTTTATGATTTTTGATTTTGTTATATTGCTTTTAGTTTTTGGATTTTTTTGTTTGTATTTTTGGTTTCATGATCTATGTTTTTTTTTTTTTTATTTAATTTTTCAAAATTTTCAACTAAAACTCATAATGTTGTTTTAGCATTGATTTGGAATAATTCTTAAGACATTTTCTCTCTCTTCTCTTTTTGCAGAATTGGTTTCTATTGATACAGAATATCATGATCCTGAGTTTTACCTTGCGGATTCTCCTCGGCTAGAGAAGCTAAACGAAGGACGCTATGTCAATGCACCCCCATTTAACGGATTTTCAGGAGTGGGTTATCCAGAGAGTCCCGCCACGGCTAGTGTTGCGACACAAGTCTACCACCCGGAGCCCCAGCTGTATGGAGATCCATGGCCACTTGGTTCTGGAGAAAAACAGGGCCTCGTCTCATCTATGGAGAGCTGTTCTGATTCTATGTTAGCTGTGCTTCCCAGGAAAGGGAAACCTTACATGGGACAGTCTAGCCTGGAAGTAGGTCAGCGACAGATGGTCCCTGTTCCCGTGACGACAACGACAGGTGTGTCATCAGCAGGTTCCAAGGTGAATGAGAATGCCATATTCAGTGGCGCCTGTTCAGATAACGTTGTCACTGAACCGAGGGATGCCAATTTGGCGCCTCCGGTTCCAACTCCAAGGAAGACCAAACACGTGAGTGCCTTTCTTTTTAATTGTCCTTCTTATTTTACTGAAAAAAAATACTTTTATCTTATTTGCATGATGCAATTTTTTGTCTTTTTTAAAGCTTTTTTTTTCCAGAATTACAAGAACATGTTTTTTTTTTTGTTGTTGTTGTTCTATTTTTGTTGTTTTTGTTTTTTTTTTAGGATAAAAGACATTACTCATAAGAGTATTTTAATTTGTTTTTATTAAATTATTTTATTAATATTTAATTTTCTGTTTTAATTTATATTGTTTTGCAGTTATCTTTTCATTTATAAGCACAACTTTTGATGTTTTTTATTTAATGAAAAATATATTTTCTTGGTTTAAAATTTTATAGAATGAAAAAACAAAATAACTGTGAATTAATATTTAAACAACCCAAAATTCAAAATATTTTCTAGAAAATTGAAATTGATTAATATTTCAAATTAAACATGTTATATTTCTGCATTCTGCAGTATATGTAATGTAAGAAATTCATTTAATTTTATTTTAAAGTATTTTAAAAATACAGTTTCATATTTTAAATTGACTTTATTCCATTTAAATTATTTTTTTTTAATTATTTTGTTGAAACAAGTTAATTTTTGAGTTAGATTTTAGCAACACTTGGTTTTCTATTGACTTTTTATTTAATATGAAATTCAAAATGGCTGTGTTCATCTGCAGAGATAGGGACATAGCTCATCTGGTAAACACATTAGCTCTTTTATGTGAAATAAATGTTGAAGAAGCCCAAGCTTTATAGTAACTGTAGAAACTTTGGAGCAAGATATTCATATCATGCTTAAAAATGTTTGCCAAGCATGGTTCTGAATACATTTATATAAATAAAATCTCTAATCTTCGTGTTATAATCAGGTATTTTCCTATTATTATGTAAAGACAGTGTCAAATACAGCATAATGAAGATATTGAACTTTTAAAATTATTGATCATTTTTTCCAGATTTTCAAGTTAATTATAAAAGCTTAAATGCATTCATTTTATTTTCCAGTTTTCATCATCACATCAAAAAAGTTTAATGTTTTTATTGTATATCTAAAATATGAACTCAGGATTTTTTTTTTTTTTTTTTTTTTTTTTTTGTGCAACAACCAATTTGTCTTTGAATATTTTTTTTATAACTTTATATTTTCTGTGCAGATCTATAAACCTTGGGCAAGTCTTTAAATTATTTTTTTTTCTTTGATGCCCCAGTATTTTTACCTTGGCCCAAATCCTCTGTGCTTTTGTGTAAATCCTGAATTTTGTACCCAAATGTCCTGTGTATTTGAGTGTTCAGAAAGAAATGCAAAAAGGTTTTATTTCCATTATCACCCCGTCTGTTATATTCTTAATTGTCCTTCTCAGATATCACAAAGAATTTTGAACTTCTAACTCTAGTACTGGCTTACGACTATATTACGTTGAAACACCGGTTCTCATACAATCACCGAAGTTAAGCAACGTCAAGCCTGGTCAGTACCTAGAAGGGTGACCAGGTGCTGTAAGCTTGAATGTGCAGATGGTGTGATGGATAACACCTCAGAATTGGAAATCAAAGAGCTAAGTTCCAATTCCAGTTGGATTTGTTATTATCACTTATGCACAAATACCCTTGGGAAAAGTATGAATCCACTTCTTATCCCCCAGCTATGGGTTAATTAATAGGACTTCTATCAGTAAATCGTTATCATTATTATCACAAAAAAAATTCTTGCAATCTAAAAATATTTTCTGGCTTTAAATAATCTACAAAGGTTGATAAGCCATAAAAAGGGTTGATAAGCCATAAAAAACAGATCAATCAACCAATCTAAATCCAGTACTAGGCTGATTTTTAATGCCTAGAATTTAATGTTAGGCAGATTTAAATATGCAATATTTATCATCTGAATAATTTTTATGGCTTATTGGCCTTGTGTCAATGACCTTTTGCTGCTCTTCCTGAACAGGTAAAAGAGCAATAGAAGATTGACTTGTCCAACTACTTATCCACTCTCTGTCAACTGTTGTGACAGGCTAGTGATGGAACACTGTCAAGAGTGCAGGGAGATGTGGATTCATGCCTTTACCAAAAATTAGGTTAAAGTGAAAGGTTGAAATTCAAGTTGGGGGTCACCTGTTCTGTTTTCTATACTGTAATGTCATATCACCTTTTAATTCTATTAATGAAAAATGTTTTTCAGAAGGATTTGAACCTGCACCCACTGTCCTTATATTGAAGAAACTAGCTTCAAGTCAGGTGTGCTTTAGACTGCTCAGCCACAAAAGACATAACAGGAAAGCAAGGTTCAATTATCCTTTTTAAGAAAGATCCCAATGAGAAATGTTTACTTCTATTAATGCACTTAGGAAAGGCATGTACCTTAAAACTCTCAGTTTTATAAATGCACACATTTGTGCACTTATAAAACTTGATTTAAACTTTGTAGAAAACCAAGCTACAAAGAAATGACTAATGTTTTTTTCTCATTAGCTTTAATTTGAGTGACTGATGAGATATGAACAGAGAACAGACCAAGTGAATCAAAAATAATTCTCTATGTTGTCTTGATAATAGTATTGAATAATACTGAATAATAATTCTTGCTATGTTCAATGTCATTTTTGATAGATATAAGCTATTCTTTCATTCATTGCAGTTAGAAACCTAATGTTTTGTGGTATCTATCAAGGTCAGTTAGACTGCTTATGATATAATATCCTACTGTTTACCTCTGTGTGAACCTCCTATGTTTAATAGTTTTTTTTTTTTTTTCATGCATCTATCTTGAAGAAGTTTTTCTTCTTTCCCTTTAATTTTGTATCTATTTGTATGCACCTTGGGTACATCCTTTATGCTTCTTGAGTCTCTTTTCACTTGTGTAGATCTTAGACAAGTTTTTCATGCCTGATATTATTGTGTATGGCTAGGAAGAGACTGGATATGCACAACATGTCTACAATTCATGTTCAGGTCTTCAAATTTTTAAGTTCCTAAACTGTGATAATTTTATGTAGTTTGTTGCATAGCAAAAAAAATGATAGTGTTTTATGATTTTAATAGAGAATTCTTATCCATCACACTTTGAATTATGCTATTTGAGCAAGACAAATTTTTAAAATAGTATGAATCAGTTAAAGTTGCACTCAAAAAATATCAAGGACCTAAGATCCAAAATGGCTTCCTTTAAAGCAAGAAAAACAAATTGATGCAAAGTGAAAATTGTGTGGAATATCCTGCAAGATACAAGAAGTGTGAAATGCTGAGAAATGCCAGATGAACAAATTGGTTAATATATTCAAAATTCACTAAATGTTGGGGACAAAATGTATATTATAATTTTTCTTTTTTGTTCATTTGCTAAATCCTTTTCTGAAATGAAGTAAAGAAAGTATTTAAATTTAACATCTGCGCTTATCTTCCTAAAGATATGTTAGTGAACAATTGTAATATTAAATAAAATAATATAATTTATAAAGTGGAGTTTTATTTAAACATTCAGATTACATATCACACAAAACACACAGACATAATGTTCTTTTTACAAGTTTGTTTATTGGCTTTTTAACTTCTTAACACTGGCAATGGCTTTTTAACTAACTACCTGCATTCAATTGACATTCTCTTCAATTACAAATGGAATATTTGATTTTGGGCAGTACTTAAATTGACTGGCCTGCTAATAAAAAAAAAAAAGGTAAAGGAAAATTTTTTTTTGGATATAATTTTTGTAGATTGGCATCCATTAGGCCTTCCTCAAGCTACATTTGTCAAAATTGAAAAATATGGATTTTTTTTAAATTTATATTCATAATATAAAAAAATCTATCCCTGATTTTTTACAGAGTTATTGAACATACTGTAATTCCCCATGTATAATACACATTTTTTTCTAAAAAAATAATGAGCAAAATCAGGGGTGCGTATTATGCGAAGCTACAAAAATCTTTAAAAATTTGCCATAAAATAAAATAAGAATTATCATAAAACTAAATTAGAATATTATTATCCTATGTTTAAAAACATTTTTTTTAAATAAGAATAGGAAACGCTGGCCATAATGAAATTGGAGAGGTTTGATTACCAAACAATGGTTGTGTATTATGCATGAGTAGAAGCATTTTCCCACACTTTCAGCACAATTTTAGGTGTGCGTATTATGGATGAAGGCGTATTATTCATGGGGAATTACGGTAGATGTTATTTACAAATGTTTCAAACTGTGCTTACATCATTGATATCTGCATGTTTTTCTGAATTTTGTAAAATTTCAATTTTTAAAAAAAATTTTTTTTTTCCCCGAAGTTCATGCACAAACATTGTGGGATAATAATTATTGACCTTAAATGAAAAATAAATTGATATATACTTTTATTAATTTTTGTTTTTTTTTTAATTATAAAAGTGTATATATGTTCTTTATTTAAAAGAAATCTTTTCATAAAAAGAGAAAAAGTAAAATTTGTTTTTGTATGCAAAAGAGCTATTTCCAAAAAACTGTAAAATTCAGGGATTGATTTTACACTGTATCAAATATTATGAACAGGACCGTCATTCTAAAATTATAAAATAAAAACAAAATTTTTCAATTCTGAAAATGTCATAACAATCTAACAAATGCTAATCTACAAAAATTATTTCCCAAAAGATTTTTCCCTATTTTTTTTTATGAGTGGGCCACTTTACTTAAGTTGTACCAAATTTTGTTTCATTGAAACAGCATTTACATTTGAATTGTGCAGCAGCTATTTACATTAACATTGTTTTCCTCAGATGTAAAAAAATATCAACAAAATGGATGAACACTTCAAATAGTCATAACCATTTCCAAACTGAATTTATTTTTGAATTTTATAATTTCTAAGATAACACAAATTCCAATTCAGTGAACATATTAATGCATCTATACCATATATATATATATATATATATATATATATATATATATATATAAAATTATGCTCAAACTCATTCTGATTTATGAGTATCTTGTTTTGGACATTTCCATGGAAACTAA